TTTTTTTTGATATTTTGAAATGTAAACGAGCGTCTCTTGTCTGAAAGCAAATTTTTATACCAGGAGAAGCTTCTTTCAACGTCTACTGATGTTATTGGTACGTACTTGAAAAGGACGGTCACACTTACTGACAATTCTTCTTCAATTTGAAAAGATGTTGCTTCACCTTTTAATATCCTAGAGATTTTCTTCATTGTTTGGAAGCCAGTGTAATAGTAAAAAATTATAAAAAGTAATAAAAAATAGAAAAAAATTAACAAAAAATTTAAAAAATACTTTAAAATGCAAAATGCGCCCCAAAATTTAAAGAAAATGCCTTATAAATCTCAACAAATGCTCTAAAGGGCAAAAAATGTCCAAAAATGCAAAAAATACAAAAAAATGCAAATGTTATCAAAATCCGGGCCTTAATAATGAGCAATAATATATATCTGTTTCGCTTTGAAAGCATAAACATTGTAAGTTCGTAGTGTGGCCGGTGCTCCTTGAAATAGATACAGGAAAATGCAGGAATCATAATGTAATTTTATTAAAGTAAGGGCCAGAGCCCCAGAATGACAACTTTACATGCTGGGTGGATAGGTAGAGAATAGCACGTTTGACCATGGAAAGAGGGTTTTTATATCTTTCTGGACAATATATTTAAATGTTAATAGGTTATCAGTAGCGTGGGACTGATCAATTTCCCAAGCTACTGAAGCCACATCATCACATTTTTTGAGATAATTATATATATATATATCTTATTTTAATTTAAATTTATCAACCTTCAAAAGCACACGTTCCATTTGAATCTTATACTGAGGATTGTTTTCTTTTGATTGTTTGCATATTTCTAAGTAAATACAGATAATCTTTCCAGTCTTTGCAACGTGGCGTGATGAAAACTTTTATTGATTAGATAAATAGTTTAATGCTCTACTTCTTTTATATCTTGTTTTCTTTATTTGCGTGTGCGTTTGTTATCTGAAATAAAAAAAACATGCATTCATATGTAAACTAAAGAATAAGCGATAGGTGGTAATATTCTCCATCATTCGCATTCCTACTTTTAAATGTTAGGGTTGATCTAATTAAGTAGAATCACATGTGGTAAATTCATACTTTCATATAATATAATGAACTTACTCGAAAACAAATTCATTAAAATTATTACACATAATTAGTACATATCGAGTGGGTTTGATGAATGGAAATTATCATTTAATTTTTATAATCAAGAAATTATAACGCATTTTCTTTTCACTGATAATTTACTCCTTGAGTGATTATTCGGCATTAAATCCCCCAGCTTCCTTTCAAAAACAAGAAGAAAAAAAGAGGGCCGATCATGGATCACAAACTAAAACTGAAGGAAGATAAAAGCAAAAAAACTTTATTAAAATCTGAGAAATCATTATTGAGCCTAACTGAATTAAAAAATATCAAAATCAGTTCGATTGTCTTTCGATATTGCGTGCGATGATCAAGCAGCGTTTGATATTTTTTTAACATGTTCTCTCTCCTTCTAATTTGTCAGATGTTGGAAATGTTTCCGTTTCTATCTTGCTTAGACATTTTATTTAACCATGCTTGAACAGATGAACGATTTTTAGGTTTCTGACTATGTATGTTCACTACAGTAATCTTGAACCCAATGTAGAAGACAAGGTAGCTCTGCAAGTATTAGGTCGAAATAGCTTTCGTTGATGACTTTTTGATGGAGCTAACTTGCAGTTGCGTTACATAGAGTGGAAAGCCCCCCACGGTTTGCCGACGGCAAGACAAAAAGATTCCAAGTTTTGATTCGCCTACCAGTGAGGATATTTTATATTATCACTGTAGTTGACGCAGAAAGGAAGCAGAAATCATAGCGGCCAGCCATTACTGGGATTCGAACCTGTTGCAGCGTCATTGGGAGGCAAACGCTCTATTCTTACCCACTGATTTGCGACTACCAGTAATAGTAGTAGTTTACTTCCATCACACTTGAGTTGAACAATAAGCTATTGGTGACGATCCCTGAAGTTGAACCGAAGGCATGACATCACAATTTCAATACTCTGTAGAGAAGACGGCTCCTCTGCTTTACCATGCTGCCTACCTGCACACGAAGTTGAGCATTTTATAGTAGAACAGTATAATGAGGATCGATACCGCGCAGTTCCTTCTCAGTCTGATAAAAGTCGTCACCCACCCACTTATTGAGCGCTGCCAGTGATGCTTAGCTTTGGTGTTCAACTGGGAATCGCGTCTCATAATCAGTGATCCACAGTATCCTAATGTTGTAGTTTTTTTGCTTCATTTTTTTCTCGAAGACTACTAAAATGTAAATTGACGGCGCTGCTTACAAAATTCCACGTGTATGTCTAATCATCGTATATTTACAATTAACTTTAATATTATTAATAAAAGTAAATTTACGCATTTTTATGCAGTACTTAAAAGACGGCTCGGTGGTTAAAAATACTGATCTGTCATTGTGAAGAACTGGAGTTCGATCCCTGGTGACGGCTTGAAACCCATTTAACTTCAGCTCGACGGGAATCTGCTTGTCTTGGAAGTAAAAGAGTTCGATGCGCCATGTGGATCTCATTACCACCAGCATGATATAGTTCATGAAATCATGGGATGCTTTGTTTTTTTTTTGTTTTTTTTTTATGTACACAAAAACCTTCCGAAATATTATTCCCTTTTTTGATTGATTTTTCGTATGGAAGGAGTTTCCAGCGTTACATAACATATTAAAAACTTTAGTCTTCTTTACAATGATTGTGAAAATACTTAATATATTATATTTTATATTCTCTGTCTTAACAATTAAGGGACAATTTTGTGTGCTTCTGTGGTAGTTAGTTTCCTCGAAGTTTTAGGAGAAGTAAATAATTAAAGAATGAATAATTTTTCATGATTCAAAATTTTGCACTTTCAAATATAATATAATAATTAATAATTTAATTATTAAAAAATGATTAGGCTATTAATTATTAGTTTAGTAATGAAATTAATATTTGAAAATGGGTATATTTAACGATGAATCTTAAAGGTACTTCTTAATGTAAAACAAATGCCCTCTAGAGAATCTGGTTTTGGATTATTTTAAACCCTCCTTTGCTTATTCTAGTTTCAAAACTTATTATTTATATTTCAAAAATGTTTTTTCCCACTTAAATATTTGTGACTTCTAATGCATAGTTTTGTTTTACAAGGACTTTAATAATATATATTTAGAGCGGGCATTACGGAATATCTTTGCATTGTGATTATACTTTTTGTAAATTAAACAGGCACCTCAAGGTTATGCGATTTCTTCACTCTTTCCCGTTCTCCGTTACCATGGTTCTGCCAAATCGTTATTTTTCCCCAAACAAATATATACACGTTTCAGTTCAATTTTTAACTGAAACGTGTTGGAGTAAAGAAAAAGCTAAATTTGCCAAAATCAAGGTAACGAAGAGGGGAACAGTGTGGGGAGTTGAGAAATCTCGCAACCTTGAGACTCCTATTCTAGTAATGACTCTTCCTTTAGATTTAGATTTTAATGCTTAATTTTTCGCTTCTTTTTGCAGGACTGCATATGTCTATTTCAGATTTCTGTTTCACTTGAAAAAACTTCACGCACTCAATCATTCTGTAGTGGATCGTTTCTCAATTACCTGCAAGAAGTACAGAAATGATGTTTGTTTCATTTACCAAGATGAAGAATGGACCTATAAACGAGTAAGTTAGGTACAATACGATTCGTATAAGTAAAGCCTTTAGACCTGTGGTCAGTAACCATTGAGCCGCGGGTCGCCTCGTAAATTTTATTTGAGGTATTTTAGATTATCTCATCTACACGATTTTCGTGTGTTTAAAGATAAAGCTTAATGTAAATTAGAAGTAATGTGACCCTCCAGCAAAAATTTTGCGTAAAAAATGTAAAAAAGATCCACTTGAAAAAAAAAAAAAAAACGCTCCCGATCACTGCTTCAGATCAACTTAACCGCTTCTCTTACTAATTTTTTTTTTAAAAATTGATAAGGGAATTGGTACTTAGAAAAAAAAGCAAAAAAAACAACATATTTTTTTATTTCATTAATAAATGTAAGAAACTAAAACAAAACATAATCCACAAGTTCTAAGTTGAAATTTTAATTTCTTCATTCGTAAAAAATATTTAATTTACCATCAGTTTACTATCCCAAATTATCTGAGGCCAATGAAAAAAAAAGTTAAATATTTTTCTTTGAATATTTATTTATTAGCATTTTCATAATCTGAAAAATCATCTGCATTACTTTCGCTGGCGAACGCCATTTTTTATAAATTCTTTCTTCGATGTAGAATTCATCATCCATCGTATATACAATTTTACAAAACACATCTGCAGTCCCACAAATAGCAAAACTCCTAAACAAATTTCCAATCACAGCAGATTATTTTTTGTTCTGCTTCCAGTCGAATAAAAACGTGATAAAACAAAACACATTGACGAATTCTGCTGTGCCCGAGTTTACTCGGAATAATAAATGTTTACACTATATACTTACCCGAGTTTACTCGGGATAATAAATGTTTACACTATATACTTACCCGAGTTAACTCGGGATAATAAATGTTTACACTATATACTTACCCGAGTTTACTCGGGATAATAAATGTTCACACTATCTTACCCGAGTTAACTCGGGATAATCAGGGAAGCGGTTAACCTATATATATCACGATTTACTTTTTTAGAAATTGAATCTTAAGAAATCCATTTAATTTCTAATACAATGTTTTTTTTTAAGAGACGGACAACACCCGTTTTTTCTTCAAAATATTATTGACGAATTAATAGTGATTCTATCATTAAAGAATTGTTAACGTTTTCATATAATAAGGAGATTTCACAAATTTATGTTAGTTTCCGTACGTTACAGTGCGTAAGATTTCAAATAATTGGGCCTGCTAATTTCTAGTGCGCATGCGTCAATTCTGGGGGAATGCGCATGCAAATTTGGTAGATAATAGATTCTGATGAATTCAGCTTAAAAGTATTAATAATATTTTTGAACTTCTATTGATTATTTAACTTTTTTTAACTATATTGTATAGTTAAAATAAATATAATTTATAATTTTAAAATAGCGAAGTAGTTTCTTGTAGAACTAGTGCCATTAGACAACCATAATATTAAACAAAAACCAATAAAATTATTTTTTATTGAATCAAACAATTGTTGTAGTAACACACGATTCATTTCTAAATTTCATCAATACATTTCTTCAAATTTGCATTCAATGTTCAAGTTTGTAGTTCGAAGGTAGGCTTAAACACGAAAGAACATTTAACAGTTATAAAAAGCGTGCTTGCCTTTGTGGCGCAAATCTTGCCAACATAACGCAAAGATAGGTAGCATCTAAAATAGAAGCGAGCATGTTCAGATTGTAATTAGCTTTATTCTGCAACTAGGTATACTTGCACTTCGAGAAAAAGACCTTGTATACCCACACATGTGACTTCAGCACCGGCTGATCGCTTACAAGTAAAACAGCGTGTTGAAGTTTCTCCACATAAGTCAGAATGTTAATTAACGTGAAGTTAATTAAACATAGTGCCGTATCACGCATCGAATTTATTGAGATATAGTTCTTTTTCGTATTTTTCTTAGATTAGATTTATTATCTATGTATTTTATTGAAACCGTGATACATTTTTGTTTTGTGTACCACGCAATTTCGATGCATAATTAGTTTGTTTATATTCTACATGGCTCCATGTCTGTTTTTCTGTTAAGTAAAAAATATGTAGTGGAAGAATTGAAATCTTTGTGAAAGAATATAGAATGTATCATTTAAGAGAATTGATGCTTAACGGCATTGGCTTACTCGAAATTGAATGAAAAGAACAGTTGTTAACGTAAACAAGTGCCACTTTTCAACAGCCAATCAGAATCGAAATACCCACACGACGTCACTTGGAGGTATCCCACTGTGGTAAACAGAAAGAAAACAATTTATTTATTTATTTGTTTATTTATTATTATTTTCTTATTTATTTATTATTATTATTTTCAATGCTGCAATTTTGGAAGATGATTATTTTTCAATTTCTTATCTTTTTCAGGTGGATGAACTGAGCAATAAAATTGCAAACTGCTTTTTGTCCCGAGGTTACAAAAAAGGAGATGAAGTTGCTCTTTTTATGGAAAACTGCCCCGAATATATCTGCACCTGGCTTGGTTTAGCAAAAATAGGAGTGGTCACTGCTTTAATTAACACGAACATTCGAGAAGATGCTTTCGGACATTCCATCAATATACTCGACATAAAAGCTATCATATTTGGTTCAAATTTTGTGGAAGGTTCGTATAGGTTACACATTGAATAATTGTTTTATAACTGGTGTTGAACAGCTGACCCATTTTTAAATTTATGACTATCGATGTGTACCAGTGATATGGACTTAAAATGTCCTGAGGCACATATTAATAGGATGTTGGTTCCCTTTTCGCATCGATGACAGCCTGCGCACGTCTGCTAAAACTTTCCACCTGTTTTTGATAGATGGCCATAGGAATTGACTTCCATCACGTAATCTGAGCTCTAATTCGTCCCAAAGATGTTCTATGGGATCGGGTCTCTGAGAAGGCCAGTCCAGTTTCGAACTCCCATTTCGTCAAACTACGCCTGCGCAAGCCTTCATGTGTGAATGGAGCCTGCTAGAAGAGAAATGGGCCGAAATATTGCCATAGAGTAGGGAGTGGAGCATTGTCCAGAATGACATCTCGGAGTTCATGTTTCCAATGACAGCAACTAACGGACACAGGCCAAACCACGAGAAACACCCCCCACACCATTATACTTCCACCACCCATAGCAACCGGATGTCCGGATACTTTTGACCAGATAATGTATTTGCTGAAGGAACAAAGCTTAGAGATTTTGAAAACGATGAAAGCAAATTTTAACATCAGAATGGAAGGGCATGCAGTTTAGCCGATTCTGACCATCAGCGCCATTAACCCCTTCATGACCGAAGGAATAAGAAAGAAGCGTTTCCCAAGGTCCGCATGGTCTGAGAGTATGCGTACCAAAGAGTAAGTATGCGTACTAATACAACATGCAATATAAGAGTACCGAATCGAGATCTCGTCCGTGTGATCTCAGACCACTCGAGTCAGAAAGGTTCGTTTCGTATATGGTGCCATGGATTGTGAAGAGAGAATCGTGACCGAAATGGTTAAACCAAAGAAATTTGGTTTCTGTTTTATTCTGTCTAAGTGTTGCAGAAAATCAGTTTTTCCTGGAAAAATTTTTTCCTTCATAACCGTCGTTGAACGGCCAACCCCATTTTAGGTTTACGACTACTAATGTTCAACTAGGCAGCCTTGTCATTTTGAACCCAATCCAGAAGACAAGGGAACTCCTTGATCAGTACATCCAGAAGTATTGATTTGTTATGGGAACATGGAGGACTTTGAAACTCGACAGATTTAACGTGCATCAGTCCCCATTTACTGCACGGGGAGTCTTCGGCCGTCTAGGATCGAACCCACGAACACCTGGACATGGGCCCCTACCATCCAGGCTATCCCGGCCACTGGAAATTGTATTTTATGGAGATGGCCGTTTTTTTCAATAAAACGACACAAATATAAATTCTGCGAAATTTTATTCGCCTTTTTTATCTGTTTTAAACTAGGCAAATTTTCAAGTTGTTAATTAAATTTTCTTGTTCATTTCAGCTATAAGAGATGCTATTCCTTTCCTGAAAGACAAGGAGAGAATGGAATATTACAGTTATGCAGAAAAGAACCAAAACCAGGTTGTTTCCACAGCATTCCCCTGCAAGTCTTTGAATGCTCTATTAGATGACGCATCTCCCCAAAAAGTTCGTTTAAGTTATCCAAAACCAGGCTCTCAAGGTATTACTTTTCTTTTTAAATTTAAAATATTATGTTAAGATTTATCAGATAAATATATCTTTCATATGCAAAGTTTTATACTTCAATGATTTTTCTTTTATAATTTTTATAGATAAATTATTGTACATCTATACATCAGGTACAACAGGTTTGCCGAAAGCAGCAGTAATTCGGCACAGTAGGTGAGAAATCAGTTTTATATTCATTTTAAAGGTTAGAGCAAAACACAAAAGATTCAAAACTGAAAGAAAGTACTAAATACAAACCTAACACAAATAGCATTACAAGAACTAAACACAAGTAGCATTGTAAATGGTAAACAAAAATTAACATTTAAAAAAAAAACGTGCTGAATTTTCGTATGTTAAAATATGAAGTTTATAAATTTTATTTATTCATAAATTGATTCCTTGATGTTTTATTTCACTGATTTACTAATACTCCGAGTCACTAATTCGTAATTCGCTATTTCGCATTCATTCACTCAAACGTTCTCTAATACGCTGATTCGCCCATTCAAAAATGAAAGGGCTTATTGATTCGTTCATTTATTTAAATGCCAATTTCCTGATTCATTTATTTGCTCATGTTTACATCTCTTTCACCTATTCTATTATATGCTTATTCACCAATATACTAATACGTTGATTCACTAATTTTCTCCCTAATTCGCCCTTGAGCCAACACGGCTCTACAGAGCATTTTAGTAAAAAATGGGAAATACTGGTATAAGAAAAACAAAAGCTTTGTGAATACCCTGGCAACACAGTGGAAAAAGTGTAGAAATTACCTAAGCCTGAAACGCATATTCTGCTACCTAAGAGCATAATTAAGCCGTTAACTTGGACATTAACTTTTTCTGCTATAACGATTTCATAAAGAAAAAAATTTAAGAACAACAAAAGTTATTAGGCCTCTTTGTTTGTTCCATTTAGCGTGAAATGTCATAATAATATTTACTTATTCATACAGGTACCTTTGGATAGCGACAGCAACAAAATTTCCGTGTCGACTCAGGAAATATGAAACATACTACAATCCATTACCTCAGTACCATGCATCAGGAGGTGTATTGATGTTGGGTGTTGTTTTGATATTTGGCGGCAAAATGGTGATACGAAAGAAATTCTCTGCATCCAACTTCTGGAAAGATGTCTCAAAGTATAAAGTCACTGTAGGTGTACTAAATTCACTGAACATGCGATAAAAAATTTCAGCTGTATCGTTATGATGTAAAATAATTGACGGCTCCCTTACTTTGTCAAAGTTAACTGTTAACCGATTTTAAGAAGGTAACATAAACACTTGTGGGGCCTCCCTGGTCGAACGGTATAGCCCGCCAAACACTGCTCAAAGCGTGGAGGTAGTGGGTTCGAATCCCGCTATTACCCTGGATGTATCTTCGTGCTGTAATTCTCTGTATTGTGCTATCTGTCCTTCTATTTGACAAGGGTTTATAAGCCTAAATTGAGCCTGCAAATGTATGTAATTCCAATAAACACTTGTCGCCAGAGCCTGACTAAAGCAGGGGCATAAGGGAAGTTTATTTCACGTTTCCCTCTTTAATGAACTTTATTTAAACAAAATATCAGTATAGTGTAAAATCCGTCAGTTTTATGTTATCTTCTTCGTTAATCTATAGTATGAACACAAAAAATCTATATTTCGTGAATCCCTGGATTTCTAGGTCGGAATTTCGCTAAATTTTCGCAACTAATATGGACATATTTGACCAATGAAAAGCCTGTATTTTTACATATCACAAAATTTTATATGTTTACAAAAATGTGGGCATCTGATTGACTTAATTGCGTCTTCGTAATTGCGAAAATTTAGCTTAATTCCGCTCTAATGTCAACAAGGATAGGAATTTTTCGCAGCTAGTTAACAATCAGATAACTGTATTCGGCATGATGAATATAGAATTGTCAGAAAATGAATAAATGGCTATTTTAGGTTCTAGTGTTATATATCTATAATTCTTCATGTTATATATCTATAATTCTTCATGCTATATATCTATAATGATGCGAAAAATTTAAATACCTCCGCAAAGTTCGGTTCTTCATTACTGAAGTAGTGAAGGGAAGCGGGTTTGAAAGAATTTTTTTGCCCCGGGCCCCAACTACGCTAAGTTGGGCCCTGCTTGTCACGTTAAACCTCAAAGGTTTATAAGCCTAAATCGAGCACACAAGCCTGCGAATGTATGTAAATCTTTTAAACCTAAACCACGTAAAACCTCTATCTGGTTCAACATTAAAGAAAAAACGCTTTCAACACGCGTGTAGGAGCTGAAATTCATTAAAAGTTTCGAAAATGGAGAACAATTCATTGATTGGAATGATTTTTATATAGATGAAAAATAGCATACTTTTCATAATAATCAAGCCGTTTGTCCGAAAACGCAGGTAATTCTTGAGAACAAGATGTTTTCAAATTATTACTTTGCCTCACGCGTAAGTTTATTTTTAACCGTGGTTTCCCATTATTTCCTCAGGTGAAAGAGTTTATGGCAAAAGTTTAGATTTAAAACGAAACAATTAAGAGGCTCCGTTGCTTTTTACTTATATGACGTCATTTATCACCTGGTTAAAAACCTAGCCGCTTATTTATTATGCTTTTCATCAAAAAAAAGGCTGCGTATTCGAGGTGATTCAGCACATCTGATGAAGACTTTATCAATCACGACATGTTAAGTCTGTGGGACGATTTTTGTTTCGTCTCTTTGAGATAAATTGTAAATCTCAATCAATTACAGACTGTTGAAGCAACTCTTGCATACAGGGACTCTAGGTCCTAGATGTTTAGTCATAGTTGTTGCGTGTTTAACAAATGCAGTTGTAGCATTTTGTTAAACACGCAATTTCGAGCTGCGTTTAGAATAAAAAGCTCCACTACGGTATGTATGTGTATATCTGTTGTCGTTTTAGGTGACTCAGTATATCGGAGAAATTTGTCGATATCTTCTAAACCAACCAGTGACTCCGGAAGAAACTCAACATTGTTTGAGACTAATGGTCGGGAACGGCCTAAGGCCTCACGTTTGGAAAGAATTCAAAGATAGGTTTAGAATCAAAGAAATCATCGAGATTTATGGGGCAACTGAAGGAAACACTAATATTGGTAAGCTCTTGAACTTCAAAATACGTCATGAAATAATCTAAGGCTATGGTAGAAAATGTGCCTGCTGTCTCATATTGGGATAAAAATCGAAAAAATAAGTGAATAAGCCCAATAATTAGGATGTTTTATAATGAAAACAATTTAAATAAAAAACAAAACAAAATCAACAAAAAAGTTGTGATCGCCTGATTACGATCCCTGGTTGCCCATTGGTCAAATGCTTTTTCCTTCTGGATGGACTCCGTTAAACATTTCAAATCGTGGGTTGTAAAAACTGTCTTAATGGATGCCTGTCGTCGGATTGATTTTCATTACCTGCCTATGTAAGATTTCAAGATGACACAAAATACTTTTCCTTCTTCAGCATTCATAATTATATATTGAAATCACAGTCAAGCCAGTCATTATACGTTAATAATAAAAGGAATATAAAAAATACTTCAAATTATTATGATGTAAATACATTAAAAATGCCTGCTAGTGAAAATTAAAAGAAGAACAGCAGCGGTCGCCATAGCAACGCATGCAATGACGACGCATGCTCACTGTACTATTACTCTTGAAGGCAGTTGAAAAGTGTATGGACTCCATCAAACCCAAACCAAGACCCATTTTGCCAATGGGTAAAAAGTAAGAAACCAAAAACAAGCAAAACGAAATTTTTAAGATATGTATGTTAGCAAAAACAGCACTTCATCAGGTGACACACTGTCTGCTAACATGTTGGAGCCGTTTTATAATCAGTGGTTAAACTAAAAACTGACTATGCCCCGAGGCCCTATAATGGAAAAAACTAAATAAGAAAATACAATATCTCGAAAATTCAAATAGTGAATTCCATATAAAAATCCAATTGTATACAAAAATACAAGTCAAAAGTACACCAGGAAAACACTAAAAAGAACACTTAGTGTTTTCTCAGTTTACTGTTTCATAATATGGTTTTCTCAGTGGATTTTTGTGTATCATAGTAATTTTATCTTTATTTCAATATTTGAATTTTTGAGGTAATGCATATTCTTAAGTAGTTTGTTTTTTTTTCATTATGGGGCCACGAGAAGCAGTCAGTTTTCCGTTAAACCACTAACTACTGAAAGTATAACTATGTATAAAACTATGTATAGTAACCATTTTAACTATGTATAAAATTGTAATAAAACCTTGTACATGTAACATTAACCTAGAAAATTTTATTAAAAGATTTGTTTTTTATTATAGTTTTAGTTCAATCTGAACAAAGTAACGAAATCGTTACACTATATCTTGTGATTATTATTATTATATTAGTTAGCAGACAGCTAACCAGTGTGTTAGCAGACAGCGTGCCCCCTGATGCTAACATACATATCTTTAAAATTTCGTTTTGCGTGTTTTTGGTTTCTCACGTTTTATTTAAATTTCGTACGTAAGACAAATTTGGTTTTAGCTACATTTAGCACTTTTGCATTTTGTCTTATTATTTTAAAATTTTTATCTTAAAATTATGCTTAAATAAATTTCATACTTTGATTGGATGCTTTATAATGTTAATTCTGAAAATAGCGCAAAATATCTATATGAAAAAACCCCGCAGTTTTGTGAAACTGTATATCGTTCGTGATCTAATTTTTTAATATTTAAAAAAAAAATTAACCAAAAAGATTTATCTGGGCTAATAGAAAATTGAAAAAAAATTTAGAAGTCGTGTTTTAACAAGTTTCATATAGGTAGAAAAATCTCGCTAAATGGGTGATTTTTGAGAAAAACTTTTTTTAATAATTTTAAACTTTGATAATATTTTAAGTTTTGAAAATGATTTGTTACAAGATGGGTTATATAATTTAAAATTTAAGCTTTGCTCTGAACTTATAAGGGTATTTTTCGAAGACAAATAAAAAAAAGTCGCAGTTTAAGTGCCTTACTCTCAAAGTAAAGTTATGTTTTAAAAAAAGTTTTTGATCTCACCCTCTGTAATGATCTGGGTTGTAGAATCAGCAAATAGCTTAAGTATTTCAAAAGTTTTTAATCTTTTTTTAAAAACTGCCAATTTGTTGAGATTTGACGTTTATTTCGTATTCACAAATTACGAGTATTTTTTTCACAATTTTACAAGAACGGGCCTCTCACAAAATGTCTGGACAGACCCCTGGTTATAATTTGACTTATTAAAAATAATCTTCGTGATGAAATGCTTGAACACATAATAGAAGAAAATAAATGTTGATTCTATTTCAGCTAACCTGTTCGGAAAAGTAGGGGCTGTCGGATATTTTCCAAAAGTAATGCAGCGTCTTTTCCCAGTTGAACTCATGAAAATTAATCCCGAAACTGGTGAACTCCTGAGAGACAAGAACGGACTCTGTATCAGATGCAAACCTGGTAAATAAACTTATTTTGATTTCTTAATTTTGTTGATAGGTTATTTATTTTATTCAAATTTATCAAATTTTATTCTAACACAAATTATCTTAGTATAAATTGCTTTATAATCTCACAGTTTATAAACATTTTCCTTCCTGCTTACCTATATATTGTTTGCGTGTACTCTTTATTTTATTTTTTTACAGAGATTTACAATACAAAAAAAAAAACTCATGGAATGCAGAAATTTTTTTTTTTGCTTTTAATATTGATTTGCGACCCTTAATGTGCATAGTTTTTTTTACTGCATTTTTACGAGGATTTTGGAAAAGGTTTATTAATGGGTCACAAATGAGTATTTAAGGAGTGAAATGAGTAATTATGTATAACAATGATGTATATGATGCAATGAGTATATAGCAAATGAGTAATTATGTATAACAATGATGTATATGATGCAATGAGTAGATAGCAAATGAGTAATTATGTATAACACTGATGTATATGATGCAATGAGTAGATAGCAAATGAGTAATTATATTAGGTGGACCGATAAGATAGCAAAATTATTTCCTAACTTCATTGTACATGTTTTTACTTCACTTAAAGATTTTTTTAAAAAATAAGATAAAAAAAAACTATGGAGTCACAATTTAGAAACAGTTATATATTTATTTAAATTTAAGGGGTCTTTTTCCTACCGGCCGAACTCTGTCGAAGAGGGGGAGACGAAAAAGGAAATCTCTAAATATGCTTTTAATTCCTTTTCTTGTTGTTGTTGTTTCTATTGCGACTTGCCCCACGGGCAAGCCTGCTTGGTGAAACCGAGCAAATTTAAGGCAGAGTGTGCGTTTATTGTTTTTTCAGTGGCGCCATCCTATGGCCAAGAATTCGCCTTCAGTCACACACACGTCACAGCCCGTTTTTTATAGGGCGGACCCATTCATACATCCACACATCCTAATTTTGACCTAAATCAGAGAACGATCGATCTCCAATCCAGTACCCCCAGTGGTACTGATTTGTTATGGGAACATGGAGGACTTTGCGACTCGACAGATCGACCAAGGCCGGATTAACCATTAAGCATACTAAGCACGTGCGTAGGGCACCAGAGGTAAAGGGGGCTCCACGAAGCAAACATGAGAAAAATATCTTTCTACTAGGAATATTTTTTTACACATTTTAATACGATTTTTAAGTTCTTACATGGTTTTAACTAATTTGATATTGCGTTATAATTATTTCAATCACGCGGACACGAAAAAGAAAGTTCTGTATTTGCAGTATCCCATCACCAAATGACCAATGTTTTCCTAACAGACCTCCTATATAATCAGTGAATAGCCGAGACCTGAAATACAAACAGTGACACATTGTATTTTTCTCCCTGAAAAGAATGAAATCAATGTCGAAACTATCATATTAATAGTTTAGAAGTTATAAGCGTTTTAAGTACAAAATTGTACTGTAAGTATTTACGAATCTGACCTAAACTCATTGCCTTATTATCGCCTAGTGGGCATGGGCCTAGGTCCCAAAATTTCTAAGGGGCCACGAAAATTAGTTAAATGTAATCAACATTACTATTTCTTTTAGGAAACATTTTTTCTGAAAAAAAAAAGATTCTTTATTTCAAATTTTCTTTATATCATGATATGACTAAACTAACGTAAAAATTGCACTAATCAGATTCGAAAGTGAGATGGGCTAGCTTTGTGTTCGTTTAACT